GCGTCTGTCTACACAATTTATTCAGTATTGCACTTGTTAAGCTATGATCTCATAGCAGCGACAGCACTTTTACAGAGGTTCGCAAGATAATACAATTTATAATACGCTACTTTTTACAAATCACTTTTTTGTTCTTTCAGTCATTTATTTCAGTAAATCGGAATGTTAGCCAATTTTTGCGGACTTTGAGGTTTCGATAGTATAGACCACTTGTAGATGATCTACTGTCACGAGGGCGATAATTGTTCCTAAGAATGCTCACTGACATTCTTTTTCTTATTCACTCAAACTTCTTCTCATTGTCTTGTAGAAGATTAAGCAGACCTGAACTTTACGATTGCGGGTAAATTCTGTGACAGAATGCAAGTCTGTCTGAAAACACAAAATCTTGAATGATGTAGATCAGGAAAGTAGTAAAAGTGCAAATCTAAGTTTTGAGTTTGCCATCTGCTATCGTTTTTTTGTAGTTGAAGAGTTATTCTCTAGTTTAAACCCAAAACCTTCAGTCATTTACAGCCTCAAGCATGAGGACTGAATATAGTAACATCGTCGTAACCTGTAAACAGAATCTGAAAAATACTTGAATAAACGTAGCAGAAACAGTTTTGCAATATTAAGTTGCTGCAACATGAACGAATTTTTTTTGCGCACTATAAGCAACCATACTGCTCACTGTCACTTGGGTTTATAATTACAATTTTGAGATCATTGTGTTCTCACATAAGTTCTGCTACAGATGTAAAGGCAAAACTGCATTTATAAAAATTCACCTTTTACATTGACTAATTCAAAGCAAAAAATTATAAATAATTGTAAGAAAAATCTTTGTATTTTAAAGCTCGGATTAGCTTGATAGGGTTGCTATATTGAAGTTCCTTGAAACGCGTTTGTTATTTCGGGCAATATGGTGCAAAAGAAGAAAGCTATCTAACGTTTTTTATACAGTTTTGAAAATTTTCACAGTTTTTTATCTGATTTCACAACAGCACTTATCTTTTTTCAAAATTGTACTGTGATTATTGATCTAAGGAAGTGTCCAACAGATTAGAAGTTGAAATTTTATTTGAAAGAAAGGAAAAAATTTGTCAATGATAACTCCACAGAATGATTCGTAAAAAATTGTTTGGTATGTGACGCAGTAACTTTAAAAGTACTCAGACACTGAAAAGTGTTGAGGATTTAAAGCGGCGTCTGTATTTCTCTTCATTGGCTTTATTTTTTTGAAAGTATTTAGCCAAATACGGTTTTTTTTACAACTGAACTTGAACGTTCTAACTAATTCTGTATTCTTGAAGGTATTGATACGCAGAATCAATGTCCGGTGTGTCCAAATATTAGAAGGTTTTATTTGCAACCGCCTAAAAGTATATCCGTCGACAACGGAAAACAGCACTACTGCATTTATGACGTTCAGGTAGTCACCTCAAAGACAGCTAATTGTTTCTTATAATCTATTTTTTTTCTTTTTTTTTCCACTCGATAGCTGGTAAATTTTTTACAGATATAAAATATCAAAACAAGTATGTCAGTTTTTTGATTATCTTAGCTTATTTTGACAAAACTTGTTAAAGGTAACAGAGTAATAACAGACTGTTCTACAATTCTTCTGTGTCACTGACAGAATCGTTGTGTTACTTGCATTTTGCACTTTACTTTCGAACTAATTAGAAATGTTCAGATTATATCAATAAATGAATGACACATTTATTAAAATGTTAAATTTGAGATTGAAATTTTTCTTCAATGTGATGAAACATAACAGAATTAAATGAATATATCATTAGACGATATGCGCAGATTTCAATATTTAGATGTTTGAATATTTAAAAGACTTTCTGAAGTTTTCTGAATGACAAAGAGGAGGAGTAACCTCTGAATGTTATTTAATTGTAGCAGATTTTAAGCTACTAAAAACTTAAAAAACTTCTACTGCTTAAAAGCTTATCACACAGTATCTTAGGCAAATCACTGATGGCTATCATTTTCTGACTGCACGGTGAAATGAGTTGTCAACCATATGCGGTACTCTGCATCATCTAAGAAGGATTAAAACTTTTTGTCGTTTATCTCATTTTACCGTACAAATCTGCAAATTTGAAAATTCAGCTACTCATTTTCTAGAATTCCGAATAACCCCATACGTTAAGTAATCTAACTCGATCACATAAAAATTGGTAGTGCTTCTAGAAAATCTCCAAATTAACAGTCTCAAGGTTTATTACTAAGGTAAATTAAT